ATTGCTGAGGTGGATGTTATTCTTTCAAGAGTTTGATTTGGAGATCCGAGACAAGATTGGGGTGGAGAACAAAGTGGCAGATCATTTGTCAAGAATCCAGGAGAAAGAGCTTCAAGATAGTCCTGACAAAGAAATCAACGACTATTTTCCTGATGAAAAAGTGATGTCTATTCACGTCCCTCCATGGTTCGCAGACTTTGCCAATTACAAAGTTGTGAAGGAGTTACCTGCTAATCTCACTGGGCAACAACAAAAGAAATTTCTGCGGGATTTAAAGAGGTACTTCTGGGATGATCCATATCTATACTTTCAATGTGCTGACGGAATCATTCGTAGATGTGTTCCTGAGTTTGAGACGACCCAGATCTTGTGGCACTGCCACTCTTCTGAATATGGAGGTCATTTTGGAGGCAATAGGACTGCTCAGAAAGTCCTGCAAAGCGGTTACTACTGGCCAACACTGATCAAAGACGCCAGAGAATTTGTCGAAAAATGTCGACAATGCTATATCAGTGGTAAATTTCTTGAGGAAGAACATTTTCACAAGGTTTGGAGTACCCCGGGCCATTATCAGTGACGGAGGTACTCACTTCTGTAACAGGCACTTTGAGAGCTTACTTGCTAAATATGGAGTCAAACACAGAGTTACTACACCATACCATCCACAAACCAGTGGACAAGTTGAAGTTTCAAACAGAGAAATAAAGAGAATCTTAGAAAAGACAGTGGGAAACTCTCGGAAGGATTGGGCTAAGAAGCTTGACGATGCACTGTGGGCATACAGAACTGCATTCAAAACCCCCATAGGCATGTCACCGTATCAATTGGTGTATGGCAAAGCTTGTCATTTGCCTGTGGAGTTGGAATACAAGGCCTTATGGGCCACAAAGTTTTTGAATTTCGAACCATCAGGAGCTCGGGAGAAAAGATTACTTCAGTTAAATGAGCTAGATGAGTTCAGAAGAACTGCATATGAAAGTGCAAGGATTTACAAGGAGAAGACTAAGCGGTGGCATGATAGCAAAATCAAGCACAAAGAGTTTGAACCAGGACAACAGGTATTATTGTACAACTCTCGACTGAGGTTGTTTCCAGGTAAACTTAAATCACGTTGGTCTGGTCCTTTTATTGTGAAGACAGTCTTCCCATATGGGACAGTAGAAATCTCCCCTCTCAAAGAGGACAGACCTTTCAAGGTCAATGGAAATAGATTGAAAATCTATTATGGAGAACAAACACCTAGAGACACAATTTCTGTCTCTTTAGTTGCACCTGAACCTTAAACAGTTGCTGTCAGGCTCGTGACGTTAAACAAGCGCTAGATGGGAGGCAACCCAGTGAAAGAATTTTCATTTTAGTAGTTTTTAAATTTTTGTTTTTATTTAAGTCAAGAAAACAGAGAAAATACAAAAAGAAGGTGCAGTGAGAAATAAGTCCACGCTCTCAGCGTGGAATCCACGCTAGTAGCGTGGAATGTTCAGATCAACAGTAGCTTCCACGCTTGAAGCGTCAATTTGACGCTTACAGCGTGGGAAAATTTGGAAAAAGGTCTCACGCTTACAGCGTGGGAACCCACGCTGAGAGCGTGGAAAGGAAAATTTTTACCCGAAGCTCCCACGCCCACAGCGTCAAACCCACGCTGAGAGCGCGGCAGCCAAAATCAGTATTTAAAAAGAACTGAACCCTAACTTTCCCTCCCCATTTCCTTTTCCCTCTCACCGTGAAAACCCCCCCCCCCCCCCCGATTTTTCTCTCTCTCTCTCTCTCGATTTCCTACCTCTGCCCCAGCCACCACCGCGACCAACATTCTCCTCTCCTCTTCCCTCACCAATCTTCCACCACAAACCCAGCAAGCACTTTGTCTTCTTCACGTATATCATTCTCACATCAATTTTGGGTTCTGATTTTTGGTCGGTCACTAAGCAATCATGGCAGGAGATAAGGTATTGTTGCAACTCTACTACTTCCTTATGCATGAGTTGGTATTAGGTTTTGACTATTGTTGCTTGTTCTGAAAATACTCATGATAGAAATATATTTGGAGTAGCATATAAGGGTCAAATATTAGTTACGTACATGCACTCTACCTGTTCGATGATTTGCCTGATAAGGAAGTACGATATGATGGTAAGGAATGCATATGTGCTTATCAAGCTAAAAATTGTGCAACCGGTAATCGATTGTCATGGTGATTTTTGTGTGAAAAATTTTCTTAAACAAATGTCTGCCATGCATTCGATTAAGGGATTGTTACAGTTTCTTACTATCCGTGTATGCCTCTCATATTGAGCATATTACATATTACTTGTGTTGTTTTCATTGCCAAGACAGATCTAAAAATTGGGAGCATCACATTTTGTATCTGAGTTGGCCTGATCATGAGTGCACTAAATGCTAAATTGGGTTTTATTAGATTACTTCAGTAGTTTGAAAATATTCATGTCAGCAATGCTTTAAGTCTGATTGATGATCATTGGAATTCAAATGTTCAAATTACAGGCCATGCTTATGATATTCTGTGTAAGCATGTAATATTTTTTAGCATACTCTATTGATCCAGTGCACTTCGATTTTGGATAAGTATTCTGATGATCAAAGATACCAAAAGTACCATTGTGAAAAATAATTCTGGGAATTTCATGACTGGTTTTCATTGTTAAATCTTGACATGCATGAGTTTCCCTGTTTTTGTGTTACTTTTCTGAGTGCAGGGAAAGAAAGGCAAGCAGATCACCACAAAAGGAACTAGTTCTGGCAAGAAAACTGGAGCAAGTCGTGCTGCTGGCACAAAAAGGGCTCGGACCTCTTCTTCATCTGTTTTTGATAGTACCAGGTTCTTATCACATGAGGCTCAAGACAGGTTTTACAAATGGTTTGGCCCCAAGAAAATCATACCAGAAAGGCGAATCAGTTCCTTCCTAAATGATGATTGCCCAGTCAAACGAACAGTGAAGAGGAGAAAATGGGGGAAGTTAGTGGGATTTGCTGCACCAAGCTCCAGCACAATTCTGAAAGAATTTTGTGCCAATGCTGACCAAGAGACAGTAGATGAAACTAGGAAGAGCTGGGTGAGAGGACATGAGATCTCTTTCTCCTCTGACGCAATAGAGCAATTCCTGGGGACCACATATGACCGTAGCAAGCCATGCCACTCTATACGGACATTTAATAGATTGCAACCTACGGCTGAAAAAGATTTGTACTGGGAAGACATGCCTGAAATTGCAGAGAGAGTCCGAGCTGCTATCACTCATCCTCATTCTACGTGGAAATCAAAGGGTGGGCAGCCACACGTGCCAGAAAAGTTAAAAAGGGAGGATCTAAATCCAGAAGCAATGTTTTGGCACACTTTCATAAATTCCACAATCATTGCATCTACTAATTTAAGTGATGTCAATGTTGAGAGAGCAGTGCTGTTATATACCCTTATGGGTACAGAAAATCTCCATATTGCTGATACTTTGTCTGACAGAATAGTATACATCATAACTCAGAAGAAGGCTGAGATCCACCTTGCTCACAGTTCTTTGATACAGAAGCTCTGTCAAGCGGCTGGAGTGGAGATTCCTGATGATGAGCCCTATGATGTGCAGGTTAAAACAGACCTCACACAGACAAATTTTGCTACTATGAGCGCAGAATCTAGTCGGAATGCTCTTTGGAAGGCAGCCCGTGCAGCAGGTGGAGCACCTCCAGCATCACCACCTGCACCTGAGCATGATGCAGAGCCCGTAGCTGCACCTCCTGCAGATTCCCTTATGGTTCAGATACAAGAGATGAGGATCGAGCAGAGGTACCTGAGGGAGATGATGGAGAGGCTATGCAGTGATCGCGGGATTGACACTGCGAGTTTCAGACCACAGTTTCAACCACCTCCATCTCCAGCAGCGGCAGCATCACAGGCCGTTCCGGATGATGTTGTTGCTGATGATGAGGATGATGACGCTGCTATGGAGGACTACTGATGATTATGCACTTCATTACTTTCCGACTAGTATAGTTGTTGCTGAGGACAGCAACATTCTAATCTGGGAATTGTCGCATGGCATGTTGTATGCGAGACCTGTTAAGAACTACACCACGGAAAGAACGGTCTAAACAGAAAATTTTCTAAAAAGGGGAGATATTTTAACCTTCAATTGTTATTTTTATTTGCTGTTTTGAGTTAGATTCAATCTTTATTTTCAAAAAAAAAAAAAAAAATTTAGATTATTCCTAAACAAGCAGTTCCAGAATGCTCTGAGCTTACTCAGTAAGTAATTAGATTGAGTTGGATGAAGCATTATAACTGTGAGCAATTACTTGTTTTAATCTGAGAATGATGACTACTCGTTTTTATAACTGTTTTGCTAAAATGTTTGATAATGCTTGATGTGAAACAATGAATCGAGATTCTAGTTTGGATTTTAACTGTGAGGATTTGAGCCTAAACAGAATTTTATTTCAGAGAGGCCTCACTGTAGTAGATTCTAGAACTTGAACTGTTTCTTTGGCTTGTCATGCATAACTAAAATGATAAGGGCATTTTTATTCTTATTAACTTAGAGCCAAATAGCCTACCCATAAGAATTTCCATTGTTAAGCCCCTTTGAGCCTTAAACCAGTTCATTTCAACCTGATAAAAAATTACTTAATCTTGTTCCTCTTGACACACCTTGAGAGATTGAATTGATTCTCACCCCCAAACCAGGCCAAGTTACAACCTATCAAAGACCTTTTGATCAGTCTGTGCATGACAAATGGATTCCTCATTCTTAGGAATTGAGAATAAGTTCAAGCCTATGGAATTACTGCTACACTGATGAAATAAGTGTGAAACCCTCAAACACTGAGCGTGATGAGAGTATATTTATAACCGATGAGGAATATTCATGCTGGAGTTTTAATTCTGGACATAACTGAAAAGCATTGTTGGGAGTTTTTAACAAAGAGTTATACATGCATAGCAGTCTGAATTCTTAAGATGTTGTGTTCCATGTTTTCATTGAATTATTCTTTGCTGATAACTTGAATATATTACATTGCTGAGGACAGCAAAGTCTTAATCTGGGAATTGTTTGATATGCGCCTAGCATATAAGGAAATCTGAGCCAAAAAGAGAAAGAATGTTGATGAAATCTTGAGAAAAAGAGCAAGAATCACTGTTAATTTGTCAAAATCTTAATCAAGGATTGAATACTGATTTTATGCTAATTTTGTAGGAAAAAGCAAACAAACTGGAGCAAAACGAAGATTTTGCAAAAATCAAAATCCATGCTCAAAGCGTGGAAGAAATTTTTCAGACTGAAGCGTGAATTTGACGCTGAGAGCGTCAGTTTGCGAATTCTCAGACCCCGTGTTTTGCAACGGGGCAATTTTGGAAAAGAAAAAGATTTAAAAATCAAGTTTTTGATTCAGCAATGAGATCTCTATCCAAATTAGAGATAAGATTAGATGATTTGTGGTAAGATTGAATCAAGATTTGAAATTCTAATTTATCAATCAAATCTCCAAGGTTGTTACATGAAAAAAAGGAAACAAAGTTTAAATCAAATACAAACTCTTGGATGGGCCCAATTCCTGTGTCTATAAATAAGGAGCTTGGGAGCACAACCAGAAAAACCAATTCACAACTCAGAGCAAGCAGTAGAGGACTGAAGATCAAGAATTCTTCTCCATTCTTTCTAGTAATTATAGTGTTTATGCTTTCTTTTGAATATTTGTTTATGTCGGATATGACTATGTCTGGCTAAGTTCTTTTATTGTAGTTAGGGTCACAACCCTATGTGAACCCTTGTTATGACGGATTGATTTAAATTATTGTACTCGTTTACATAAATTTCTTTATCTTATCTTGTGCGTATTTGATATTTTCTTTATTAAACCTGATCAATTTGATAGTTGAAAATAGTTTGAGGGTTAGAACCTTAAATAGGGATATTGGGGTTTCTGATCTCGAAAGGAGATAAGATAACTATTGGTATGCATACTAGGGATAGATGTCTATTTAATTGCAGATGTTGGAATTATTGTGTTCATTGCTTAATTCTCATGAGGGGTTACTAAGGGATTAGGATTCTAAGTGAGGTTAAAGGGTTAAGTTACCAAGGGATTGGGATTTAACTATTAATATATTGAATCATAATTATCTGAGAAATTATATAAATAAGTATTTTGTATCAATCCAAAGTAATAAGTGGGGATCATAGGGAGAGTGTTCCCTAACTGCAATTCTTTCTCATATTTTCAAAACCAACTCCATTATTATTTTATTCTTCTTTTCATTCTTGAAAATACAAAAACT